GGCCCCGCCCCCTACAAGGAAAAGCTCTCCCAAAAAAAAAAAAAAAAAAAAGAATTCCAGGATTCTACTATTCCTGGGGTCTTGGCCTCAGACCCTAGCTGTCTAGTGCTGCCAGAGATTCTGTGTAAATACAAAATCCGCTCGAATTAGCCCAAGACTGCTTATGTTTCTGTTGCTTACACTCAAGAAGCCAACCGAGCCAGGGCCACTGCTTCAGGTGTTATTCCTCCCTTGGAGCAGGCTATGGGCTTCCTCTCCAGAGTCAGGGATGCCTGCTCACAACTGAAAGCAGCACAGCTGGGAAGTCATCTGGCAGACTTGGTGGCCGTCACAGAGGACAATATACAAAGGTTCATTTCTCTGAGCCATAATATACCTGGTAAATGTGGCTGCCTCCCAAAGAGTCTGCAGGGAAATAATTTTACTCCAAGGAGCCCATAGACGGTTTTGTTTTTGTTTTTTGAGAGGTTTTTGCTATAGGGTGCGTGCGCTAGCCAGAGAGACAGAGAGATACAGAGAGATAGAAAGCGAGAAAGTACCCCCTGGGGGGATGGCCACACTGCAATCCCTTCTCCTCCATTCTTCTCCTCTCGGGATCTTGGGCACGCACGCACACACTCCTGGTGTGAGTTTAAGCCACCGGATCCAGGACTCAAACCGTGGTTGACTACGTGGGAGTCCAGTGACATAGCCATTACACCAACTGCTGGTCCCAGGAGCCCATAGACTTTTGGAGGACAGGTCAACTCTGAAAGTTGTCTGCAGTCCACTCTGATGGAAGGCCACCTCTGTCTTCTCACAGGAACTGGACAATTGTTTGGGGGAAAACTTAAGATGGCCAGGAGAGACAGCTGTCAGTCAAAGATCTGATGGACAGAGACCTAAAACCAACAACCCAAAGAGTGGAAATAATTTGCTGACTTTTATTCTCCCACTAACATCTGTTTTCATGGGAAGGGAAGGCAGAGGGAATACTGTTCTTTTCCCCTAGGGCTTGCCAGGAAGGGGTTTCTTTCCATCTCTGTTTTCCACCCAGGAGGGGAGAGCTCAAAGTCATTGCATACTTGTCTAAGGTCATCCAACTAGCGAGCAGAATCCTGGTTTGGATCTACACAGATCAACTCTGGAATTTTTTCCCAAGATAATCACTTGTCCATGAACAACTGGAAACAATTGTGTTCACATAAAAGCCAAGAAGTGAGATTCAGGGGAAGCATGTACAGGGACTTGGCCATGTAGCTTCCTTCACATGGAACCATGGCACCTGGTGCCTCGTGGGGAGTGTCTTTAAATCAGTGAACTAGTTGGTGGTGATCACCTACTCAGTTGGGGTCAAAATTACATAAGCATCCACTCATCCTCTGAATTGCGCAATCAAACCACATAGATCTATGCAGTGTTAGACGCCCTTCCTGACTCACGTGATAATCTCTGTTTGCATTCATGACGGCTGCTAGATCTTCTCTGTTGGGTGGATTTCTTGTGAGACAGGGACACAACGCTCTGCAGAGCAAAACAAAAAAGATGCCCCCAAGCCCCAAGATCACTGTCCTGAATAAGTGATTCAGAAACATTGGCTCGAGACTCCGATTATGCTTTAACTTGGTGGTATGGGAAACCTGTGTTAACGGAGGTTTCGCATGGTTAACCTGTTGACTGTTACCAAATGAAGCTGAAGAGAATTTCCCAGACCTGGATTTGCTCTTGATAATAACAGTTATTTTTTGTTTGTTTTTCTTCCCAGAGAGGACATGTGTGCTTACCAGAGAGACAGAGAGATAGGGAGGAGGAGGAAGCACACCTCCTAGTGGGGCATGGTCATGCCAAAATCTCTTCTCCATCCTGTTGGGATTGTGGGCATGCGTACACACGTGCCTGGCATATTTTCAAGCCACTGTATCTGGGACTCAAACCACTCAGTCAGTTGTGTGGGATCTGGTTTTCCTTAACCACTAAGCTACAGGCCGCTTGAAGAGAAGCCACTCCTTCTGAGTGAGTGACTTTATAGAGCTGAGCTACCTTATGGCTGTCTGAAGGCAGTGCTGCATACGTGAGGTATGCGTCCTTTTACATAATAATAGTGACAATAATAATTATTGCTCATGTAACTCGAATGTAAACTGGGTTGAACGCTGTGATATGAGCTTTATGAGTGGCAACTTGTTTCCTCCTCCTCGCCATTCTAGAAGTTGTATTATCATCACTCCCATTTGATAGATGAGAAAACCGAGGTTCAGAGTGACTAAGTAACTTTCTCAAGGTCAATGGATACTGAGTATAGGAACCAGGATGTGAACTGAAGTCTATCTGGCTCTGGACCCAAGCTCTTAATTTCTATATTAAACTGACCCTTTCCAGCCTGCAGCTTTGACCTGGCTGGTCATCTGGCAAGCCTGGCCTTGTGGTTCAGAGAGGCCAAGTGAGATCAGTGTAGACTCAGCAGTGCTGAGGAGGGCACCGCCACTGAGGCAGAACGGCACAGAGGCAAGGAGTGCAGAGCACCAGAAAGGTAGCAGGATAAAGTGACCCTGAGTTTGTCCAACCATGACCTTCAGTGACCTAGTCATTTCTTATCTGCAACCTGGCAAATGCTTACTCCGAACCTGTAGCTCTAAGTCTCAAAACCCCTGCACTGACCGGCAGCAAGAGCCTTTTTGAGAGTTGCTCTGACACACCAAATCCCCTGTGTGGCCCAGTGGCTGGAGACAGTGGGAGCCAGGAGTTGAGTCAGTGGTTGGAACGAGCGTACCTGGCACCAGCTAGGTTAGCAGGCACACGTTACCCAGCAGCCATTCTGTCTCTGTTCACAGAATCGTGAGGCCTTCTCCAGGGTACCTGTGTAGTCTAGGTCCCCCAGATGAGGACTGGCCTGGATTTTTAGGGGTGGTAGCCAGGGTATTCTGTAATGTCTAAGGACAAGTCTGGCCTTTGTGAATTATTCATTCAGTCATTTAGCAGCCACTAAGTCCCTATGCTGTGCTACCAGTACTCAAGAATTTGTGGACTGGGGAGGGAGGCATGTGAATAATTCCCACATAACGTGTTTGGGGCTGGTGGGAGTAGGGTGGGAGCAGCTACAGAGCTTGGGAAGATCTGAGGGAGCCACTGTGTCCTGGGTCATGGTCCAGAAAAGGACTTGCAGGAAGAAGTGCTGTGGGAAGCCATCATGGTTCCATTGGAAGGGTGTCTCACTCCTGAAGGTCATGGAGATGTGGAACACTGGAGGGAAGCCATCTTTGTTTTGTCCTAGAGACTAAGGGATGAAGATGCCCTCTCAGGAGCCTTTCCAGGACCAGGGCTCTCTGCTCCCTGGGGAAGACTCTGCCTTCTGACCTTGCTAATCCTGATTTGACCACTTCCTCCTCTAGCAAGTAACAGTAATCTCATATTTGTGAATGTGAAGCCTGGAGTACCCATGCCAGCCAGGGAGATGGGCCTGGCTGTCTTGGAGATGGCTCCCCCAAAGGCCAGGAGGTCCTGACACACTTAGAAACAGATTTCTGCAGTTGCCTGAGTTCTCCTGGAGCCTTGTTCCTGCAGCCTCGTCTCCTTCCCCATAATTTATAATTCCCTCCCTAGAAGAGTGAAAGATGTCCTGTAGCTATCATGGAAACAGAAGCAGGGCTGGGCCCCACACACTGTGCATTCTCTGAGGTAGGCAGCTGAGGCCTAGACTGAAAAAACCACTGGAATGTCCACCCAATAGACCCATTCAAGTTTGAAAGTCTTAGTACTCCTCACACTCTGCTCTTCGATTTCTAATGAACCTGTTAGGAGTTCTATAGCCCTTTGGGGGTCAACAGGGAGAAGTTTCCATCTGACCTCAAAGCTGGGTTTCTGCAGTTGCTAGTTATCATTGACCCCAGGCTGGCCATCTGGAACACATTCACCAGGTTCACAAATACCCGAGGAATCTGAGAAAAGGCAAAACTCAGTCAAAATCCCAGCTTCTTACCAGGGTCTGAGACCTGATCCTCCTGCTAGTGTCTAAGATCTAGGGACTTCTATCTGACCTCATTCACTTCCTGAGCCCTCCTTCCTCCTACCTCTCTGCTCCCCATGGGCACTGGGGACCAGGACAGAGGTGACCTGCCATAGAGGTCTCA